CCTCCCTTACCACCCATCCTCCCCAGTCCCTTTCCCTTTGGTAACTATTAGTCCATTCTTGGATTCTGTGATTCTGCTTCTGTTTTGTTCCTTCAGTTTTTTCTTTGTTCTTATACTCCACATATGAGTGAAATCATTTGGTACTTGTCTTTCTCTGCCTGGCTTATTTCACTGAGCATAATACCCTCTAGCTCCATCCATGTTGTTGCAAATGGTAGGATCTGTTTTCTTCTTATGGCTGAATAATATTCCATTGTGTATATGTACCACATCTTCTTTATCTGTTCATCTACTGATAGACACTTAGGTTGCTTCCATATCTTGGCTATTGTAAATAGTGCTGCGATAAACATAGGGGTGCATCTGTCTTTTTCAAACTGGGCTGCTGTATTCTTAGGGTAAATTTCTAGAAGTAGAATTCCTGGGTCATCTTTACCCTTATTTTTAAATTTCTTAAATACCAAAATCATTGTATCATTGGTACTTATTCTTCTTGGAGTTAATTTTTGGCCCAGAGAGGAAATGTAGATCTCCCAGTGTCTTTGAAGTGTTTAATGACAACCCCAGATGATGACTTGACAAGTTGCTTATGTGGCAGGAGAGGAATATATGGAATGAGACTTAGAATAGACTTGCTTATATTTATAGACATTAAGTGGCTGTCTTTGGCAGTGTTTTTTGGGTATGATGACACAAAGGTTAAAGTACCACGTATCAGAGTAAAACTGAACTATAGCTCATGTACACCCTTTTGAAAGAGTAAAATAGGTGCATTTACTTTGTAATTCCTTTAAAAAGTCAGAAGAACAATAATTTATTTTGGCAGAGAGCTTTCTAAATGGATTCAAATAGAATTTCTATACTGAAGTATTAAATTCTAAATTATTGCTTTTAATTTTTTTAAAGCTGCGTGTTGTATCACAAGATGTGAAATTGAGCCTTCATGAACTGGATGAACTCTATGTCATCTTTAAGGTATTGTTGTCCTTCTTTAAATGAAAAATAATACTGTTAATAGAATTTTATCACAACCACTCTTAAATATTTTATTTTAGTAGATATGTTTAAAAGAAAAAAAATCTTATGAAATTACTTTTTCTGGTTTAATGATTTTCCTTTTTTCATTTGTTTTTGATAGAAAGAGCTGTTTTTTTCTTATTATTGGCATTTGAGTCATCCAGTATTGAAGCATCATGACCCTAGTCTGCCGTATTTGGAACAGTATCAGATTGACTGCCAGCAGTTTAGAGTGTTGTATCACTTGTTGAGTCCCTGGGCTCATTCTGCAAACAGAGACTCACTAGCTTTATGGACATTCAGATTGTTGGATGAAAACTCTGACTGCCTTATAAACTTCAAAGAATTCTCCTCTGCAATTGGTAGGATGATGTCCAATAATTTTCTCCTCTTAAAGCAATAAATAAAGGTACCCCTAAAATACTGTTGCCTATTATTACCAGTTAAGTCAGATTTTATCACCCTGTGATAGATTTTCTCCAACTTTAACAATAACAACCTTTTTAATGTGTTTGTTGCTAAATCTAATATATTGGTCTCATTTTGCCACAACCCTCCCAGAAAAGCAAGCTGTTAGATAGGGATATTTTAATAGTTAACATGAAGAGAGAGAATGTCCCAATTTTCCTACAGTTGGGCACATGGATGCTTCAGGAGGACTTCCCCTTCAGTAAAAATTCAACCACATAGCCTAGAAAAGTAGCAGAGAAATATCCAACAAACATGTTGTACCTGTAGATAGTCCACCAGTTTTATCATTCCTTTGCTTTTCCAGACATCCCAAGATGCTATCTTGTCAGGAATTGCCCCCTTGAAGAGGAGGAGTTCTCTCCTCAAATGAGGCTAAAGCCTCATTCCAAAAAAAGAATTGAGATTGTGGAAAGGGAGATCAGCAGGAGAGCATTTTATCCCTCTGTTAAAGGGTATTTTGTTTATACACTCAAGAGAATCTGGCTGATTGGGTGGTTTCACTGTTAGTTTAAGTAACAGAAGGTTTCTGAATCCTAATTCCTGGCTAATATCTGTATCTTAATTAATCTGTGTTGTTGGAATTGATCAAATGTTCTTTGGATACATGATTATTTGCAATTGAATTTTATTGAACAGACATAATGTACAATGGAAGTTTTACTGAGAAGCTTAAGCTGCTTTTTAAGCTGCATATTCCTCCAGGTAAGAATTGAACAGCTTTTAATGATATGCATCATTAAAGTTGATTCCATTTTAACATGTAAATTACAGATATAATTCCATCTTAACAAATAACATAGTTTTCAATATGATACAAGGTCATTGCTTCATTGTGGCCCATGAGTCATATTACCAGTACTTTTGCTGATACAGTTACAGTGAAATCTGTGGAAGAGATCCTGTGTAATAGATGGGTTCACAAATTTCCTTCCTGCTAGTGGTCCATTTAATGATAAATCATTTGTGTGTAAGAACTATTTATCATTTGAATATTGGTATAATGTTGAACTTTTATTATTGTTGTTAGAATTTAACTTTAGACAAACTGCCAAACTTGTAAAATATTGCAAATTATTCAGACAAATGAGGCCAATCAGGGATATCCAACATTTGGAAAAGGAAGTACTTTTATATATTATATTTAGCACTTGCTCTGTTGAAGTATTTACTTTACATGCATTCTTTTATCTAATTCTCACAGTATCCCTGAAAGATGGTATTATCCTTTCAGTTTTGATGATAAGGAAACTAAGGGTCAGAAAGATTAAATTATATGCTGAAAAGCACATAGCTAATAAATTGCATAACTGGGATTCAAAGCAAGGTCTGATTCCAGAGCTCAGGTTTCTTTCTATTCTATCATACTGCTTCAGTGTTACCACACTGTTCCAGTCAACTTCAGTGTTTCCCACTGACCTTAAGCTGCCTTTCCCAGCCCTGATCCATATTTTGGAAAAGCAGTTTTAGGCTTTAAACTCAAGGAACATTGCAAAAGTACCTTTCAGCTTAGATATAGTAATTCACAAAAGCACATAGCGCCTCATAATTTGTCTAGAACTACACCTGGGATCTAAAAGAGTCTTCCCAGGATAGCCAGGAACCATTCTTTATCAGACAAAAAATCTAAAAGCCATCTTTAACCCCTCACACACTAAAATCACAAACACAGCATTAAAAACAGAAGACAAACCACCTAATATTTTAGATATGAGAGAACTTACATTGTTAAGTCAAATTGCCAAAAGAATGTCTAAGATTGCCATGGAATGAATACACTTTCAGTAGAAGGATCACAAATAGAAAAAGCTCTATCTGCTAGAGCACTCAATTTCATGTTTTCCTTGTTATTGAAGATGTTTGTAAATGACTGAGGTCACATTTTCAGAGATTTCCAAATGCCATATTTTCTTATTTTAACTTATAATGGCTCTCAGAAAACTAAAAAAAGCAAGTAGGAGAAATAAGAAAACTCAAAGTGATCAAGTACTTCTTACGTGCTAGGCAGTAGAGCCGTATCACTTCCACATTTCTTCACATACGTCTTTCTTATACAGAGACCCTTTAACTCTCTTCTTCCAGATTTTCTTGTCCCATTATAGGACCCATATCTGTTCTTCATTGTTAGTAAATATGATTTGGGTTATCTGTTTTCAGCTTATACTGAAGTGAAATCTAAGGACGCTTCAAAAGGAGATGAACTTTCCAGGGAAGAATTACTTCATTTTAGTCAGCTCCATGGTAAATACTGTTGAAAATGTATGTTTTGATTCTTCACTCATAGAGATCTCCTGGCTTAAATATTCTTTACCCAGCTACCATTAGTACAACTGAGTTAATTATACCAGATACTTCTTTTGTACTACCATAGCACTTAGCACAGTGTTAAATGCATGGTAGGTATCCCATAAATATTTAACTAACTAAGCTGTATTTTAGGTTTTGATTTATGGAAATTTTTATTGGAAAATTAGAAAGAAAATGCGTTTTGTTCCTACTTGTGTTGCAGAAATTTCTAAAATGTATCAGACCATTTTCATGCCTTGTTAAAATACAGTGAAGACAATAGAATCTTTGATGATTGAAGGTCATAGCTATTATTCAAACACTGAATACTTTTTATAAATCACTGTAGGTGTAGGAGACAGGGGTGAGTTTGTTTTCAAGACATAATTTGGAAGTGTTATGAGCTTAGTTTTGTGCCCTTTGCTTCTTTTGCATAAATATGAATGTTTTGTAGAGGGGTAAATCCTTATTAATGTATGTTTATGGTTACTATATGTTAAGTTTTTGAGCATTAAGTTTGAAGAGACCTTATAAATCATCTAGTCAAGACCTCTAATTATATAAATAAGGGCACTGAGATCCAGAAAGGAGAAGTGATTTGTTCAAGATTTCACAATGATGTTTATGTATGTTTATGGTTACTATATGTTAAGTTTTTGAACATTAAGTTTGAAGAGACCTTATAAATCATCTAGTCAAGACCTCTAATTATATAAATAAGGGTACTGAGACCCAGAAAGGAGAAGTGATTTGTTCAAGATTTCACAAAGAGTTATTGCCACAAACAGGATCAGCTTCTCAGTCTTCTGACTTCCAGTGTTTTTTTCCTAATAATTAAAGTAATACAATTTAGTCTGAGGAAAGCCTCAAAGAAGAAAATACCACTCAGAAATAAATGCTTAATATTTGGTATACTTCCCTCTAGGATTTTTTTCATGTGGATTGTTCATCAGTGTTCTTTTTACAATAAAAGTTCTTGAATACTTTGTCTTCTAATGATAGGAGGTCAGGTCAGCTAAAATTGATTTGCTGAATTGAAGAAAATCATACGTGCTTATAAGTCTTTATATGAAATATTATACTTCCAAAAGGTATTTATTTTTAAAATATTTTTTGAAATTAAATTGTCCTCTTTTCCTCTAGTTTCCAAGCCTACAGATGAGAAAGAAGGAGAATCAGTAAAAAATGGTCCTGAGAAAGGTACTATGATCTGGGACTATCATTTATTTTAAGTTATGATTTTTATAAATAGGGTTAACTATGCAAAGGGAAAAGGTGGATTTCCTTTAAAGGCTATTGATTTGTCCTGAGAGCTTTTTCAGTTCCTTTGTGTTACTTTAACAATTTATTCTTTTGTCTCTTGATTTTTAAGTCTCAGAAGTTATAAAAAATATAACAGTAAATGACCCATATTTATTCAATTTCATTATTTTGAAAGTATTTGTTTTTAATTACAAGAATATTAGATAATACTTGTAAAGAAAATTTAAAAAGTATGGAAGTCCTCATATCCCCACACAACCCCAACCCTGAAGTAAATGTGAAAAAACTTTGATCTATATTCTTTCCAGACCTGTTTATATGTAAACAGAGACATATATAGCCATCTCTCTTTTTTGAAAAAGAAATAGTCCATAAATACTGATCTACAATTTGCTGTTTTGATTTATCATGGACATCTTTTCATGTCAGTACATTTGAATCTATCTTATTCTTTTTAATGAGTATGGAATATTCCATTGCTTAGTTATACCATAATTTATTTCAATAGACCAATATTGATGGACATTTAGGTTATCCAGTTATTTATACTGCAAACTGTTCTGCAACAGACATTTTGATATATACATTTTGGGAGACTTTTACACATATATCTTTAGGATAGGAGAAATTCATAGAGGTATGAGAATGCTGGATTACAAAGAATATGCACATTTAATATTTTGATAGAGGCTGTCAGATTGCTCTCCAAAAGTTCATAATTTTTTTATGTTTTCATTATTATTTAGTTAACAAATATTGAATTGCTGAAGATCTGTTTAAGCATGAAAACTTCCCCAGGTTGTTCAATATCTCAACCCAGTTTTCCAAGGGATCTTAAATAATTATTAATAAAGTCACATTGATACCATCTTGATTAAACTCTTCAGAAGAATGAAAGAATAAGTACAGTTTTGAAATTTTGAAAAAGAACCACCATAGACCACTTTAGTATCTGCATATTAAAAACATCATATAGAAGCTATTTTAAATTTACTCTTATGATGAGAACATCTACATGAAGTGTACATCATCAAGTTTAGGTGTACTGTTTAATCTAAAATGCATTCTTCTTCTCTCCCTCTATCTTCCCTAGTCTCCAACTATCCCAAAGTGAAAGTTTTAGTTTAATGGAAATAGGCAATGTATTCTGAGAATGGGTGGTAAAATAAAAGGTAAATTCAAATCATTTCTTGGATTATAAAAGGTGGAATCTTATATCTTGTGAAATTATTTTCAATCATAATTTTTTTTGAGGCTTGAGAAAATATAGTGGGCTGTTCATTATGAAATGGTTTCATTCCTCTCATTCAGGCAAAGGAAAAGTTGATATTCAAGCATATCTAAGTCAATGGCAAGATGAGCTTTTCAAAAAAGAGGAAAATATTAAAGATTTACCAAGAATGAATCAGGTATAGTATTCTCAAAGAAAAAATTCTAGGTTCTTGGGGTTTTTTTTTTATGACTGTGGGTGTATCCAACTCCAAAATAGCCAACATATTATTACAAAAATAGTTAAAAGTCTATATATCATCTTTGTAAGTTTCCAATGAGCACATAAGAATGAGAGCAGATTTTTAAATGATTTTCTACTTTAAACACTTAAATGTATCTAGGATTTCACTGTAGCTCCTCTGCTGTGACAATATTTCTTTCCATAGAAAATATGTATAATAACATATATTTCAGTGTTCTCTATTTGCAGCTTTATTGGAAATGTTCACTTATTCAGTACACATGTTTTTAGTGCCTACTAGATGACATGCCCAATGCTGGGTACTAGGAATAAGAAATCACTAAAATAGGTCACACCCTGGTTCTTAATCATCTTGTATTTGAACCTGCTCAAATAATACTAATGGCTGTTGTTGATGCAATTCTAAATCCATCTTTTCCTTACACAATATTCAGTCTGTATATGTTCTTATATATATATATTTTTTTAATCTGTTTATATAGATACTGAGGATTCCCAGAACTGTACCAACATTAGAACTATCAAATCACTCAATATTTCTCAGTGGGCTAGGTAATTTGATCATTGAATACATACTTTTTAGAATGAATCAGTAAAGTATTTTTATTCTTAAATTTTTATGAACAGTACAACAGACTAAGGAAGAAAGAGAAAACTGAAAAGTTTAATACAATATATTTTTATAAAGTATATCCTTTTGTATTTGCTTTTTATATACAGATAAACTTTTCTGGTATGGTTGACTTACAAAACTCTTATGTTGGAATCTTTTTTTAATTGATAAATATCTTCTAGGAATGTCTAGGACTATCTAGGGACAGTTTGCAAATAAATCAGTTTATTTCTCCACTTGGGCACCCCTCAGCCTTTAAAGAGACACATGTCCAAATGGGCTCCTTAGAACTACCTTGTGCTACCAGATAGGTCCCCAAACATTCTTCCCTAAATTTAAGCCTTCCTAGTTGAGCTGCCCACTGTAATTCTTTGGGGAGACCAAAGGGAACTCATTCTTAATCTTTTCAGTAAAGTTGATTAATAAATAGATGATTTACCTGTAGAGACATATGGGACTTTGCCTAATTAAAAGTACCACCTAACTTTGAAGGAATGCTGACAGGTAAATTGTCCTGGAATTATTGTATGTATAATGTACTGCTATTAGGCAACAAATAAGAAATCTTAAATAGAACTTCCATGGTTCATACCCATCTTCCTAGAACCAAGATTTATTTGGGGATTGGATTAATCATCAGTTCTTATAACTTCGATGGTGAAGGTTATATGGTACAAATTCTAAATAGGTAACTGTTCACTTCTGAGTTCTCTTTATATTTGCGAAGTCTAATATCATATGTGTTATTTCTAACTTGTGTCTTCTAGTCACAATTTATTCAGCTTTCAAAGACCCTATATAACTTATTTCATGGGGACCCTGAAGAAGAATCATTATATCAAGCCATTGCTACTGTAACCAGCCTTTTGCTCAGGATGGAAGAAGTTGGAAGGAAACTACATAGCCCTACATCATCAGCCAAAGGATTCTCTGGTACAGTCTGTAAAGGGAATACAGAGAGCCACTTGGAGAAAGATCTCTCCTCTCTCAGGGAAGAACCTCAGTGGTCATTTTCATTTGAACAGATTCTTGCATCTTTGTTGAATGAACCAGCATTGGTGAGGTTTTTTGAGAAACCCATAGATGTAAAAGCTAAACTAGAAAATGCAAAAACCTCTCAGTTAAGTTCTAGAACCAAGATGTAAATCTCTTAACAGGAATTGCCTATCATAGGCAAGTTTAGCAAGATTCCTGGAGCTATCAACTTGATTCCTAGGAGTTGGGATCAGGGATTCATCTTGTTGCCAATGTGTTTGAAGGTTAAGAAAAACGATTTTTGGAAGCACAGTTGTTTATTTCTTTGTGGTAATCTCTAGTTTTGATATTCTCCAATACAAATGTACTTTTTATATTTCACAAGATAATGCAATATCAGGGGTATATTCTTAATCTGAACCACCAGGGGGCACTACTGTATCACTTTTAGTAAGGAAATTACCAGTTTGTGCTGCTATTTACATATGAATTACTGGTGATTTTGAAAATGTGTTATGTTTGAGTATTAGTAATGCTGACATGTCATATCGATAAACACTGTTTTCCAAACTGCCTCGGTCCTGTTAGAATACTTTAGAAACCAGGCTCTTAGATATATAGCCTTAATTATCTAGAAGATTACCGTAAGGGGGCCTCATTTTTCAAGTCATCTAACTGAAATAATCTTTTTAAAGTTAATTTCATTTAGTCTTCTAATAACAAAGGGTTTTTTAGTAATTTATGCAATTCTTCCTACCAGAGCAGTTCAGAAGCTGCTGACTCACTTTTTTTTTTTTTTTTAATTGTCTCATGGTAATCCATTAGGTAGATAGCATAGTTTATAAAACCAATTGCTCATTATTGGACTTCCACATTACATTCACTTATTTGATGCTACAAAGAATGCTGCGGTACATCCTCTTATTGCTCCGTCTCTGCCATTAGATTGCATCCATTATTCTTTTGTTGGGATAAGCCCCAAAAAGTGAGACTGCTGGGTCAAAGATGTGACCAGGCCAATCGCCTTCCAAGAAAGTCACATTAATGTACAATCTTTTTATTTATGTGTACCTGCAGTGCAGAAAAGTACTGTTTTCCCACATTCTCCCCAGCACTGGGCTCCAGCTTTTAAGAAAACCTCTGTACTGACTCACTTTTAACTCTGTTACTGATAAAAACAAATCAAGAACTCAAAACCCTGGGCTGATATAAGGAACTACAATATTGGATTTGGATTTAAGCTGGATAAAGCCAACCTCTTCAGAGGGGTTAAGAAACAGTTCAGTTAAATATATAGGTCTCTCATTAGTCTGAGAAATTACTTAAAATTCTCCTAAGCCTTGCTTTTTGTGGCATTTGTCTCAGAGTAGCTTGTGACTGCTTAGGTTCTAACTTAAGATTTTGGATTTTCACCAGTCACATTTAAGTTACATTAGATAGACTAAGTTATTGTATTAGTCTGGCAAGTTCATAAAGTATACTTGTGTGTAATGATTGTTAAGGTAATGTATAGAAAGAATTGCTGACATCTATCTGACTTAGATTTGTAATTTCTATATACTTTATGCTGCTTATATTTCAGACATTACAATGAGAGTCCATTTGGAGATAATTGGCGCTTTTTTTTAGCACTTTAAAGAAACAACAAACGACACTTGTCCAATCTTCAGTGCTATTTTTGACAAAAGCAACTTAATAATCAATTGACTTAGAAAATTTTAGAGAGAACTCATCCATTGGGGATTCTTACTTTCACAAGACTTTGGTTGTAACCCTTTTGACTTTTCAGATATGAAACAATGAAAGGGCAGACATCCTTTAGAGTGACTCAAGAAGTCTCCCTTTCTAGAAAGGAATTGGTATAGTCAGCTTTTGACAAGAATCCACTGTGAACAATGCCTAACACAGAGGACTTCATCACCAAATAGAATATGGTATTTTCAGAGAGATTCAAGTATTTTCAAGTTCACCCTTTGAAATTTTCATAAATTGTGCTTGGCCGAACACTTAACTAGTAGTGTCTTTAAAATAATTTGGTCGACCTTGTCTTTAAAAGGGAATTACCAGTTAAAGGAGATAAAGGAGATAGTTGGTAAATAAGCACCTATGCCTTTTCTCAGAAACGATTTACTGAAACATGTCCAAATTTTAAAGTTTAGTTAACAGTTTATTTATAAGCTATCACACATCTGCTATTAGCAATGATTGTTAAATTATACTAAACTAGCTCTAGAAAGACACAGATTCTATGCTTATATACAAAGGCACTATTGCACATAATTTATTGAATATTTTGTCAATTGTATTAACAAATAAGATGTTTTCTGAAGAGCAAATGTTATTAATATTTGATAGGATTTTTAAATCAGGATATTGGAGATTACTTAGTATTATATTTTGGCTTAGGTTAATTAAAATTGAATATTTAGATTTTTGAGTTGCAAAAAGATTATAAATGCAAGTTAAAAAGACATTTATTTTCTCAGTCTTTAGGAGAAATACGCTAACCACATAATTTTATAGTTACTACTTGTTAAGCAATGGGTTCTTCTTAATATGTAATTGTGTCAAACTGAACCAATGCATTACACCTTATACATGAAATTATGTTGTAAGAGGGCTTTACTTGTCTTTATAAAAATAAATATTATAAGTCTATTATAGTAAACATGAAGAATGGTTTACTTAAGGATATTACTGTTATTTATCACAATGAGGTTTTATTTACACTTAACTAAGTTATCACTTGAGGGCTTCCCTCCAATTTTAATTGTTTCATTTGCAGAGAACAGAATTCATTAAGTTTAGGCAGGGAAAAGATTTATTACCAGACATTAAATGGCTTACAGAATTATCAGTAGGACAGACTCTTAAGTTGAACTTTCAAGAACTTCCAAAGGTATACCATAGAACCAGGCCACCAAGGGAGTTGCTAAATCTCTATGATTAGGAAACTTCCCCCGCCATGATGAAAACCCAGCAGTGCAGCTGCTACTTCCAGAACCGCTTCACCTGTTGATTTATACCAGCCAAATAGATGCCAAGTATTCTGCATCTCACCACCCACAGGTTAGTGACTAAATTGCAGAGCAATCAAACATCTTTACAACCATGTGTGCCAGCAGAAATGGCAGAAGCATAGCCTCTACTTTCCTTCTGACATTTCCCTTCTCCCTCATTTAAATTGTTTTAAATGAGGCATCTGATTGGCCTATGATATATCCAGAATCCTAGTTGCAAGGTGATTTAGGAAATGTTCTTTCAACTTTTTAACCTTTTCAGTATAGGAAGGCACACTAAGAGGCTGGAATGAACATTGAGCACTGTATTTTTTTCCTATTCCTGTGTAGCAAATTATAACACACATTTATTATCTTACCATTTCAGTGGGTCAGGACCTTGGCCTCAGCTTAGCCAGGTCCTCTGCTTAGGATCTCAGAAGGCTGTGACCAAGGGACCAAGGTGTCAGCCAACCTGGTTTTCAGGTAGAGGCTCAACTGGGGACGAATCCATTTCCATACTCAGTCAAGCTGTTGGCAGAATTAATTTCCTTATAGTTACAAGTCTGGAGGCCCCAGCTTCTTGCTGGTAGTTGGCTGGAGGCCACCTTCAGCTACTAGAGGCTTCACTCAGTTCCCAGTGGTTGCCCTCAACTTCTTCAGGCTATGCATGGTTCCTTACCAAGTGGACTTCCCCAAAGTCGCTACTTAATCAATCCAGCAAGGAGAGTCTCCAGAGCAAGTCTGCTAGCAAGAGAGTGTCTTATATAATGTAACAGGATCTCACAGTGGTGAGATCTCATCCTCTTTCTGCCATATTCTATTGGTTAAGGGCAAGTCACAGGTCGTGCCCAGTCTCAGGGGAGAGAATTACACAAAGACATGAACATCAAAAGACAGGGATCATAGTGGGTGCACCATAGAGTATGTCCACCACAAGTACCTAGCCATGTTGTTCACCCCTTTTACCATGCAACACATCCTTCTTACCATACTTCTGCATCACAGCTAATAGTGTCAGTAGCATGCTGCTGCCTATCATAACATAAATCTCTCTCCTACAAACAAAACTGTACTAACCCTCTCTCCTAAGGGCTTGGGTCCAAGTATCTGTTGGTTACATGGATCCACCAATTGGTGCTATCCAGTCCTAATTCAATCTCTATCCCATTTTGATATCCTATAACATGTGGACTAAAAAAAGTTAATTACCATAAACTTACCTTATATAAAACAGTAGAGGAAAAGTAGGAAAATAAACTGTGATATATAATTATGTACCTAAAGAGAAAGGGCAAAACTATGGGTAGTTACTACAGTCCTCATTTCTGCAACTGTTCATGAGGCTATAATTGTGTTTTATTATATTTTAAATTATCATACAATAAATTAACTTCTTTTTGGTGTACACTTCTATGAATTTTAACACAGGCCTATATCACCATCTTAGATTAGATTATCACCACCACGATTAGAATACAGAACAGCTCTATCACCCTGCAAACATTCCCTCATACTCCTTTACAATCACACTCCCCGCCCCTAACAACCACTCATCAGTTTTCTGCCCACCATGTAAAAGATGAGATGTTTGCTTTCCCAGAATCCTTGCCCCTTGTAGCCACATGAACTAGGATTAGGTTCATCAGATGCTTTTGCCTGGAATTCTTCAACCTTTATAGAAAAGCAGGAGGGTAAGTGGAGAATACATTCTAGAGGCAGTGGTGGTATCTTCATATTAATACTCTTGTTCTGAGGTAAGATTTCAAGTGCTTTTGGATGTCCAGACTTTATTTTCCCCTTCTGGGGATCTTCTGCTTTTACCAGCCAGAATTGGTTTCTTTTGCTATTTAAAGTAAGATTGATGCATGTGATACTGAGAGCCCTGTAGCTCTGGATCCCTCAAGACAATGCAAGCAAATTATACTGGTAGCTACATTCTTAAGCTTAAAATCACAGTAGAAGGGCATTTTATCCTCATCTCACATTATCCTGCAGCTTCCATTTCTGTCATCAGAACTGTGTATTTCCCTCATCCCAGAAGCATTCAGCAATAGGTTTCCTAGCTTCTAATTCTACTTGTTTTACTTTGCAGGGAATTTGCCATTTCTGTGTGGCTGCTTTTAAGATATTGGTCTTTCCAATGTTCTATGGTTTCTTAGGATTTATGTATCTTTTTTTAAATCCTGGATTCATTGAATCCATTGTAGATATATCCAGGATAAAATGTGGTCTCTTGACTCCATAAGCCATGACTCTTAACAGTGGATGACCATTGTGTTCTAAACGCCCTTCCACCCTCAGCCCTGGATGAGTATGAATTCAGAGTCAGGATCCAGTAATCTCTGAAAAATATGAGAATTTCCAGTTGCCCATTGCATAGTTACCCTGTTAAATGGCCACAGGCCCCTCTGGCTATAAAGAAAAAGGAAAGCTAGAGAGAAAATTTATAGCATATGCTTATGGTATTACAGAATCCTTCCTCAAGGTACCTGGCTTTCCTTTCAAGGGCCTCTGGGTGCGTGAAATGACTCAGGCCTGCAAATTGGGTGAGAAGCCATCAATCTCCATCATAACAACCCAAATTAGATCTCTCCTCACCAGGCAGAAATACTTTGGCTACACAGACCAGGTAGAAATTAGTAGGCTGTTCATTTATTTCCATCTAAGGGACCTGAAGAAAATTAGCCACTACCAAACTTCTCTATAGGTCAAAACATTCAGATTACTTCTCTAGTCATGTTTCTATCATGTTAAGTATGTTTTCCCCATCTCTGGTTATTAGGTACTGCTGCT